TTAAAGTTCCATCAAGCAACTGGAGAACTTCCTTTAAAAATGTACATACATTTTGCTTTAGTCTAATTCACACACATTATCATCCACTATGGCATCAATATTTCAATGAATCGATCATTTCACTGAGAAATTTGGATAAGATAGTTGGGAAAGCCTTTCCATACCTTCTGCCAGCTCAGCAAATGTCTCAGCCTTTTACCTCACTCTGCTCCTAAACTTGGACTCGCTTGATAAGGCAGCCATCAGTGATTGATAGATGTTGCAGCTCTCAGCTGGAAAATTGCTCAATGATGTTCTATCCAACTCTATTAAATGGGTAGCAAGATGAATAGTTTGTCATTCACTATTCCATCTATTTGTTTTGGAATATTTTTCGAACTGAGCTTGATGTGCTTCCCATGGGAACTTTCTATGTCTTTTTGTTTCTTAATTGGGCAATATTATTGGACTAACATATTAACTTCTGCAATTTACTAAGTTAATAATATAGCTAGGGTTATCCAGAAAATTTCTGTAGCAATAGGTGGCTCAGCAATAGTAGTGATAAGTGTTGATAATTAATGGTGTTTGAAGTTAGAATTCTCAGGAAGATGCAGACAAGGGTGTGACTGCTTTGGCCCTTTCAATTAATTATTTTTACACGTTTTTTTGTCACTGATGATCATTTCTACTTTGGTGGTTGATATAATCTTCCTGTACTTCATAAATGTTTTTTGTACTATGCTTTTGACTTTGATGCTATCCTTTTGTGTTTCTTCAAATTTGTCATTACAGTCTTTCTGCACTTCATAGATGTCTTTTTGCACAACTTCGATTTTGCCGTTATAATCTTTCTTCACATCACCAGTAGCTTCTTCAGTTATGTCTTCAACTAAAGTAATTTTTGTTCTTAATTCTTATTTAAATATTACAAGTCTTTCTTTTAACTCCATTCTTAAGTTCCCGTGTTTTACTTTAATTTTCTGTAAATGTGTTTCTCTACTTACTTTCTGCACCTTTGTACGACTACCTTGATTCACTAATGCTTTGTATTTAATGCTCAATCACACTAATCATCCTGTACCTTATAGATTAATACACTCTTGAAAACCTGGAGCACATCTTTAACAGGAGGACCATACATAATACCAACAGGAAGCTGTATTTCTCAAACAAACATAAACATGTTTGGTTAAACCAGCTGACCTCGGTTCATTTGTGCAATATGTCATTATGACTTACAGCAAGTGTTCATCCTAGTCAGTTCTACTGGGGGTGTCAGACGTTGCACTTTCATCATCTATTTGATAGTTTGCATTACACATTCTGCTAAAAATCAGGCTAAGGGTGACAAGGTACAGCACACTTTTGCCACACCCAAAACTTCATAAAAAATAGAATAAGTGAATTTCTTCAGGTGTGTCAACTATACAGTGCTTTTCTGACACTTTGCTAACATATTCACCAATCAGTTACCTATAGCACACCCAGTGAAATAAACAGCAACGACAAGCACACAGTGATTACCTAATTTCGTCTGTGGGAGAGAACCAATTATATCCATGGCTAATCTCTACAATTAAGAACATACAACTGCTGGAGTTTTTCATCTGGGCAGCACACACTGTACAATGTTTACACCATTATTCCATGTCTAAACTCTCATGTGATCAATAGAGATACTGTCACATGTTATCACATGTAAGTGTAACAGCTTGGCAACCTCCAATTCCTGCTTTAAGGAAAGTCTGAAATATTTCCTGCCTAAACATTCTGGGAATCACCAGCTGCAACATCACAATGATTTATAATAAAGGTACAGCACACCTTGCACTCATATCTATCCACACAAGTGTCACAGATTATGGGCATATATTCCTCAATGTGCAATGGACACACTTTACGACAATAAACCTCAATGCTAGTTCTGGGTCGTTCAGCTCATTCTGTAGCACCTGAAGCATTTATTGTTGTATCCAACAAGAGGATTCAACATCACTGCTCTAGAATAGCTTTAACTTCCAGGATCAAGACATTCATTGAATAAAGTACTACTATTTGGCAAATCAGTCCATCGGTGTTTATCTGTTGCAGGCCTAGACAATGATGATGCACACTTACATTCTTGCAATGTTGTAATCCAAATTGTAACCTCCACTTCCAGATTTCAGTGATGCATGATCCAATAAATGATGAACAGTCTACTCTTCAAGTAATATTGGTAATATTTAACAAATGCTACAACTGCGTTCTCATATAGTATCTGCATTCAAGAGCCATCAAAATACGCTTAGTGTACACAATCACATGTTCCACTCTGTTCCTACAACTGCAACACTATTGCTCCAATTCCACCATCACTGGTATCTGTATTCAGCAAGAACTGACAATAGCATTGTGATTATGCTAAAACCAGAGTTTTAACTAGAGAAAATTTTAGCAACTGAAATCTTTGGTCAGTCTTCAGTCCATCTAAAATGTGAATCAACTTTAGCAAAAACAAATAATGAAACAACGACACAGGAAAATTTTGCCAAGTAACAAACATCAATAATGTTATGCTAAACAAACAAATAAAAAAGAAACAAATGCAGATCTCTCAACTGGTCACAGATTAAGACCTATCTTAAACCAATGTGATCTCTGCAGGGTCAGTACAGACTCCATTTCTTTCCACAGTATGACTAAGAAATTCCATCTGTATTTGGATAAGCACAGTTCCTTAGCTTCAACTTCAAAGCTACCTTTCTTATCTGCTGAAGCACCATGTTTAGGTTCTTACAAGTCCATCTCTCTCATTGTGGCCCTCTCAGCTAGTATCTTAAAACCTAGTTTTGAATCAACAGTAACCTTCCAATACATCCAGATATTCATCTGTCCATGGGTGTGAAAAGGCATCAAAGCAGATCACTACATTCACTCATCAGATATCAATGCACAACTTTTGTCAACCCTTCATCCTCCTGATAGTCACTACCATGCATTCCTGAACATTGTATGATTCCATCCCTTAATGTCTGCTAAGTTTCAGCATTGGCTATATCTCTAGTGCTCCGGAGAAGACTGTGGTGGTTATCTTATTGAATGTGTGCCCTATACATCTAAACGATAAATCACTGTTGTCCAATGCAGCACGTCAAAAAATAAACTTTAGAATCACTTTGCAAGTTTCAAAATTTAAACAAGTACTTAGTTTTGCTTCTAAGATTTACAATTTATCAACAAGATATTTTGACTTGAGTTCCTACTTTAAAAACTTTGCATTCAAATTTCTATGTAATGATTTGTTACATAAAATATATACAGCATTTCTTTATATACAATTTTAATATTTTAATTTTTTTTGTCCAAAATTGCAATACACAAAGAAACATTGTAAGATATTCAACTCCAAGCTTCACAAACTTAAGTTCATTTGTTTTTAGTTATTAAGCACAAAGCTACATAATGGGGTATATATGCTATGCCCACCACAGGTATCAAAATCCAGTTTTTAGCATTATAAGCCTTCAGACTTACCACTGAGCAACTGGGAGGTGAACTTCAGTTAAAACTTTCATCTCAATACTGAAAACAAAAACCTTATTTATCCAAAGTAGTTCTTAAGTGATGTTGAAAGCTAAAGAGAAATATTCACAAACTAGAGGTTTAATAGAGATGCAATAAAACTTCATTATGAAGCCCATTTCTTTGAACAAGTTTAATACACACGTTCATCAAGGGAAGTGCATCCATGTCTTTCAACAACACTCAGTTTTTTATATTCAAGTTGAAAAGGAAAAAGTAGTCCTTACTGACAGTTATAAAATTCAAGAAATGCAGCATAATCACAACAAATCATTGACAATTCATTGGCAGCTTTGGTTTCATACACTTTTACAAACATTAATTGTGTGCAGCATCTCAACAGTCTAGTTTTTGTTGTATGTTTTTAAACTTATTATATTTAAAAACTTTATTAGTTGCTGAACATTACAAAAGAAGCTTGTGGTTTTAATATATAAAAAACTAAATGGTACAACACAAGTCCTTTGAAGATGAATTTTCAATGCATTTATACCTCTTAACACATTTATATCTATTTTTACATGAAGTACCAATTAAATACGAGAAATTATATACAAAGATAAGAATGTTAACATGGGTAGTATTTTTAGTTGCACCATGCTGTCATACTTCAAAAAACACAACAGATCCAAGGTTTTCAACAAAAAAAAATATACCCAATTTCAAGTCTTTTTAACACTTGAAAACAGTGTAAAACAGTGTAAAATGTTGGGTCTAAGAAAAGTAACAAGCGAACCTTTACAACACCCATCTCTAAACACACAATATTGTGATTTGCAATAAGTTACATGATATATATATATATATATATAAAGAGAATAATTTCCGAAGTCTTTAACGTACGATTTAAATTAATTATTTCTGAAACTTTCAAAGTTACGCTTTGGTAAGTAATTATATTAAAAGCGTCATTCCTACCAAATGTACTTGTTTTTTTCTTACATCCTTATCTTGTAATATTTTATTGTCTTTCTACATATATTGTTCTTCAGTATTTAGTATATGCACGTGGTATCCAAAGGTTGAGTACCTTAAATTAAAACTATTTTGGAGCGTCACCGTGTCGTTACAGTCCACGACACCTGTTGTGATTGTGTATCATGACAATAGTCTGTAGCGTTTTTCCATTGTAAAAGGCTCCATTGTAAGGTTGACTTGTCCAAAACACACGCCCCCCTCCCCCAGTGGCTCAGCGATGCGTCTGCAGGCTTACGACGCTAAAATTCGGAATTCGAGACCCGTGGTGGGCAGAGAAAAGATAACTCATTGTAGCTTTGTGCTTAACATCAATTAAAACAAACCAAAACACACCACTCTTACGAAAGAGTTACTTATGTTTTATTCTCTTGCTATTAGCCTTCTTTGATATATCGCAGGCAACAAATGAT